TAACTTGCTGTCTCATTGGCCAAACAGTATTTTATTCAACAATCAATAAGATAAACATAAAAAGAAGTACATTCCCCCATCAGTCCACACCTGAGATTCCCAGAGAAATGGCCACTAATTATATTTATTAGTCTGGTGCTTATTAAGGTTCGAAGCTGCTTGGCCAATGACTAGGATTCCTCATCTGTTATCTCAGTCTTAATTATCATAAATCTATATATTTTATAAGACTTATCAGACGCCTTATTGGCATCCCACAACCCACAAGGCTATACCCTTCCCTCCTTGGTCCAATCAGGAGCAAGCATACAGCAGGTTGCATTTCCTGCCTACATACCTTTCACCTACATGCGATCAGGCATATCCTGTGCATCTGGGGCAACCAACCTTGTTTACAGGAGTGAAAACACAAGGCTTTTTATCTTACAGGGACAACAGTCTCTAGCATCTCATGAAGTTATTTGCCCTTGGGTAAGTGGGGCTTACAGGTTAGCAGCAATTTTGTTTTATAGCTTCCTTAAGCATACACATTTAAACTTAAGACATAACTTCACCTCTCACAGGTCTTGGCTCAAGTCTTAGTCCTTCCTTCCTACAAGCCTGTTAGCAGGTAACGGGAACCATGTCCAAGAGGCCCAGGCTACCTGCTTTGTCTTGTCTGGTGGTTCATAGAGGATGCAAGTGGCCTGAAGTGAGTAAGGCCTGCTCATAGGAGAAAGCCAGTGTGCAGGGTAGGGGAGAGGATCCTTCTAGGATGAGGATATGAGAGTGGAGGAGGTCAGACCATGGGCCTCGGAGCTGTGAGAGGGGCTTGAGCTGAGCCTCACCCATTCCAGTCTGTTCCGATGCACACACACACACACACATGCTCATACACACGCACATGCACACACACATACACACATACATGCACACACACATACATGCTCGCACACACGCACATTCACACACACACACACACACACATACACAAGCACACACATGCACAAACACATGAGCACATACATGCACACACACGCACATACACACACATACATGCACACACACATACATGCTCGCACACACGCACATGCACACACACATACACACATACATGCACACACACATACATGCTCGCACACACGCACATGCACACACACACACATACACGAGCACACACATGCACACACACATACATGCTCGTGCACACACGCATGTGCACACACACATACATGAGCACACACATGCACACACACGAGCACACACATACACGTGTGCGCACATGCACACACACATACACAAGCACACACATGCACACACACATACACGAGAGCACACACACATACATGAGCACACACACACACACACACACACACACACACACACGCATACTCCCATAGCAAGCACCCATTGCACTCACACACCTTACACACTATACCACCCCATAAGATATCCACACCACACTGTCTTGTCATATCATACATATGACATACATTACACCAAACATGTGCCCCATGTTATACACATATATCATACACTCCACGCATCCACAAATGCACAAGTACCATATGGGCCACACACAAGCCAGATCATGGCGTATACCATGTCATAATACGCCACATCATACATGAAAACATAGATACTCATACCACACACACTCACTACTACTGCTACACACAAACAACCCTGTATCTCAGGTATAGCAGGAGCAGTGGGAAAATCAAGCTCTCTGCAAGGGTCTGGGACAGTTCTGAAGAGGACTTCAGAAGAGCATGGCGTGGGTACTGATTTCATTTGCCAGGGAAAGGTTTTTCTAGACAGGGTTTCTCTGTGTAACAGCCTTGGCTGTCCTGGAACTCGCTCTGTAGACCAGGCTGGCCTTGAACTCATAGAGATCCACCTGCCTCTGCCTCCTGAGTGCTGGGACTAAAGGCCTGTGCAGCATTTTTTTGAAAACAGTTTTGACAAGTTCCTGTGTTAGCATCAGAGATTATTGTAATAATCTCTCGGTGACAGAAGCATATTCTCTCCAAGCCACTGAGGCTAAGAGGCTAAGAACGAGGTAATTCAGAGGCTGACATCTGCTCTCTTGTCCCTGACTTAAGATAGCCTTCCTTGGATGGTTAGACATACCCCTCAGATCACTGCCTCCAGCTTCATACGGTACTCCGTCTGTGTCTTCTCGATATTCTAGTAAGAGTTCCATAAACTCAGAGTGACTCATCTTGTAGACATTAAGTCAGCAAAGATGCTGTTTCCAAATGACAGCTCTGGAGGGTCCACTCAAGCCGGATCAGGTCAAAGCCTCTCTCAACTTCCAGAGAAGGTCTTTGAGAAGGAACCCTGTGACTCGGCTTCAGCTGACTAACTCTGTGCACTAACTGTGTCCCACCTAACTAGTTGGAGCAGCAGGGTCCCTGGAGGGTCGCATGTACAGGGTCTATTACCTTCAAGAGCTTCGTGGTTGTCTGATTTTTTTTTCTTTTTCTACTGATAAAACACTGTGGACAAAAGATTTATTTCTTCTTACAGCTCTCAGATTCCAATTTATTATGGAGAAAAAAATCAGGGCAGGAACTTAAAGGTAGGAAACTGGAGGCAGGAACTGAAGTCAGGAACCTAATTGTAGGAACTGAAGCAGAGGCTACGGAGGATTGCTGTATACTGGCATGCTCCTCATGGCTGGCTCAGACTGCTTTCTTATAAAACCCAGGACCACCTACCTAGGGATGCTATGGTCCACAGTTAGTTGGGCCCTCCCACATCAATTGTTAATCAAAACACTACCCTATAGACTCACCTATAGGTTAATCTTAGAGAGGCATTTTCTCAATTAAAAGTCTCTCTTCCTAGAGTGTCAAGTCGATCCAAACCAACTAGTACAGGGCTCAAGGAGTGGCTGAGTTCTCTTTTGCTAACTCTCTTGGTTAACTGTGCCCTCTCAATGACAGTGGGAGATCTTGGTTGCAGTTTCCCACATACCAGTGGACAGCACAGGAAGCAGGGCATGTGAGAACCCATGCTATGTTTCATTTTAATTACTGGGCCTAAGAGATCCATAAAACAATAATGCTGCTAACCTGTAAGCCCCTTGCCCAAGGACAGATACTTCCTGAAATGCTGGAGGCTGTTGTTTACAGGGAGACAACGAGCCACGTGTTTTCGCTTCCCTAAACTAGGTTGATTGGCTTAACTACACTGGATGTGATTGATCACATATAGGTGGGAGTTACACAGGTAGGAAATACGTCAGGATGTATGCTTGTGCCTGGTTGGATGTAGGAGGGCGGGTCACAGGCAGTAACTACATCAGGCTAAATTCTTGCCTCTGATTGGATCTGATGGGAAATACGGTGGCCTTGTAGTTTTGCCTTTTAAAACTTCTGCAAAATGTGACTTGTGGCCATTTCTTGGGAACTCTGGAGTGGCCCTAGCCAGAGTCCACCATCCTGGCCAGTATTTAATGAAAGCTTGCTTCAAATTAGGCTCAGAAATTGTGATAGTAGTCTTATTTTCAACTGGTGGGATTAATGGATATCTCAGGAGAATCAACGGAGTTTGTATTCCCTGAAGGGGACACGGAGTTGAGGCAGGACTTTCCTGTTTTAAGGACCTGAAGAAAAAGAGGTCAAGTAGAAGGCCCTAGCAAAGAGCCACCATTGTGCCATCTGGGACAGGGCAGTCCTCACCCTACAGGTGGCGCCTATCGTGTGACCATGTCCACTTTCCTGGAACAGAACTTGCTCCTCAAAGAGACCCAATGAACCCTTCCGCCTGCTGGATTTACAGGTGTGCAGGGCTTGCAACATCAGCATCATGAGGCAAGACAGTGACAAAAGGTGACAAAGTTGTTACAGCCCTCTCTTTACCATTCTTTGCCTTCAAGGTTTGAGTCTACTGGCTGTCAAAAGGCTGTTGTATCAGAAGGCTCTATCTGAGGGGTTGATCAGTAGTAACTGTAAGATTATTGCCTCTAGAGAGTGTTTCCCTCCACAATGGACCTTTCCTTCTACCGTTGTCTGATCTCATCCTTGAGAGTGTCACATGCCATCTTACCTGAGGTCACAAGGACTGAGGACCTGAGGAGGCAAGAGCAAATCAGTTCACACTGTAGCTGTGAACAAGGAAGGCTGAAGGATCTGCCTCACAGCAGCCACCACCTTGTCACACTGACCCCTTGCTCTACACCAAGAATTGGGCTGTCTTACCTCAAGACTGACGTGTCTGTCCTTAAGCAAGACAGAAGATCCTATACTACCGTCTGTTCATACTTGGGGAAACTGAGGCTTGCAGAGAATTCTTACCCAAACACACCCAGTTGGTAGGTTGACAAGGACAGAAACCTAGATCCAAGACACTCAAATCATTCCACAGACTCTAGCAAAGCTTCTTCGTTTTTTGGCTTGTCTTTTTTGTTTTCCATGAAATTCAAAGCTGGGTGGGTAAAGAAAGGAATTTTGTAAATTTCTCCTGCCTGGAGCTCTTCCCAGAGGTCAGGGGACAGAGAATCACCTTCTTCTGACACGTCTTCTCTTCCAGAAAGGCTTTACAGCCATCTCTGCACTCTGGGTTTCTGTTCATGCACTGGATAGGAGAAGCGTGGAGTGTAGTGTGTTCAAATAACTGTCTCTCCTGGATCCTCGGACTCCAGAGAGCCTGGGTCTTTCTGGATTCCCAAGTGCAGAGGCTTTGGAGCAGATAGGTAAAGAGCCTGCTGGACCAGGAGAAAAGGGGGATCCTAGGATCCCAGTGACTTCTGCCAAACCACAGAGCCCTGACAGCCAGCCCCCCAAACAGTTTTCAAAATAGAGGTGACCATGGGATCAATGGTGATGAGCACAGGCTAGAATGGATACTCAGTCTCCTCCAGACCTACAGAACACCCCTCTTTCCCCCTAGTGTGTGTGTGTGTGTAGCAGCTTGAACTTCCAAACAAGAACGCCTTCCCCACACTCAACAACTCAACCCTGCCCTCAAGAACTCTGCCCCAGGAAACCTCAGCTGGTGAACGAAACAAGAGACGGCATAACACGCTTATTTTTATTGTTCTCGTTCCAAAACTCCAAGGCACATTCAGCAGCAGCCCCAGCTTGCTCCTCAGTGACCGAGCCCTTTTGACCTGGGAGACCTCCACAGAGCAGCTCTTCCCTGGAAGGAGTAAGAACACATGCATGAAGATCCAGGCTTTGACCCATCACTGCCTGGCCCTATAATGGTGGCAAGTCTAGTCCAAAGGCTCTTACGAAGGAGGGGCCATCCTCAATGACCTTCAAGCCTGCTTATTAAATAGTCGACTAAACTTGTTTCACAACTGCTACTCTGGTTCCTTGGTCATCCAGAAATTTCTTAGCTTTAAATCATTGCTCAGATATAAACTTACTAATAATCTTGTGCAAAACACTACACTCTTAAATTTGTCCCTTTATTTTGCGCGTACAGGTGCTTTGCCTGCATCTGTGCACCCTAAGTGTGCAGTGCCCTCAGAGGCCAGAAGAGGATGTTAGATCCCCTGGGACTGGAGTGGCAGATGCTTTGTGAGCTGCCACATGGGTGTTGGGAATTGAACCCAGGTCTTCTGGAAAAGTAAGTGAATGAAAACATGAAATAAAAGATTTTTATTGTAGATGTAAGGGAGAAGGAAGGCAGAGGGAAGAGTCCAGGATGAACACGGCTGGCAGACTAAACCAGACCATGAAAGGAGAAAGGGAAAGAGAGAGCAACAGAGCAGCCGCTGACCAAGAGTAGGCAGCCAGGGCCAAGAGACTAGTGTAACCCAAATGTCTGGGTTACTCAGAGATCAGGCTGGGGGAAGGGAAGAAGGGAAGTGGAAGCCCAGTCCCTGGGAGGGATTGGCTTCCAGTAAAGGGTGGGTTGAGAGGTGTTGGGAGGAGTCACAGCTACTGAGACTTGTCCTGGGTTTGAGACTAACAGTAGCCAGTGCTCTTAACTGCTGAATATATTACAGTCTTTAGACCTCAGCTTTCTCCATTGAACGAGAAGGGGTTCATCCAGCTGTGACCGTCAAATCAAGGTGGCTTTTCTTATGTGTAGACACCTACAATGTCCTTCCCTTCTCGGTTTCTTCCTCTTCTCTGGCTCCCATGCACGAATGTGCATCAGTGTCTCTGAGGATTAATATTGGT